GGGGGCGGGTAAGGTCCCCAAGCCGGGATGCCAAACCTCGCGCGTAGGGGGCGGGGGCCGACGTGTCACCTATTGGCCAAGCGGACTGAAACTCTTCTTGGAGATGCTCGCCACCAAGTATTGGCTCCTGCCCGTGCGTGCAGCTCGGGGCTAGCTGGCGGGCGACGCGGAGCAGCCTCCCCGCGTGGGCCCAGGGCTTCGCAGCCCAGCGCGAACCCGCGAGGCTCGTGCGCAGGGGAGGGGCTCGCTTGCCTCCCACTGCCAGGGCTCGTTGATTGAAGTTTCAAAAACTAAACCATGTCAGGGGTTCCCCCGGTGTAAGCCATCTTCTGAAAATAGTGCAGACACACACAGCCAGGGCGCTTGCTTCTGCGACGGAAAGCACTTCAAAGAAAACACTGCGGGGGGAAGGAAACATAATTTTAAGGGCTCAGTCTTCTGAGATGACTTCTTTGGGAAGAAATTCAAGGGTAACAAATGACAAGGGAGCCCTGTTAAGCAGCGGAGAAATTTCATTTATTTTTTTTTTTAACCTAGATGACTTGACTTTGAAATATATTTCTTTGGATCTTGTCTTAGATGATTGACACTAAGGCCATAAATAATTAATCCAGCAGCTGTTAATGTCTTGGCATAGTGTCCAGAGTAAATACCTTCGAGTCCAGCCAAAGCCAGTGCTGCTTCCGGGGTAGGTTTGAGATCTGACGTACACACACACTCACCGCATTCTAGATCCTTCTGAAGGAGCAGCTTGCGTGTTGGTTTTTTTTTTTTTTTTAATCCACCTTGGAATGTCAGGTTATTGCAGGCGCCAGCGCACCTGAGGTAACCAGCGTGAGAAGGGACATTAATCTGACTGATGGTCTTTATATTTTTAGAATCCAAACATCTTCTGGGTAGGCAGGCTCACTCTAAGGACAGACCCTTACTGGTATGTTTATTATTACTACTGTCTGTATTCGAAATGACTGCAGGAGGCAAGCTGCAAAATTCATAACCCCCAAAGAACACGAAAAACTGTAATTGATTGAAGAGTCTTTAAAAAAAAAAAAAAAAAAAAAAAGACGGTCTTAGCCTATCTTCCTGTCCATAAAGGTTATATTGAAAGTAAGCCTCTTCTGAGTTCTGAGAATGGGGTTCTGGAAATCTGAGGTCAGTGGGGAGTTCTATGAGGAAGGCACCCAGCTTCCAGGCCCTTGCACTTGAGAGGTGAAAGCAGTGTGGTTCCTTTAGCTGCTACTGGCCTCACAAGTGTTAGCATTCCCAGAAACCTAAGGTGCATGGGGAAAGGGAGGGCTCTGGAGGCCCCCAGCCAACACCTTTGACTGTACTTGGAGGGGGAAAAAAAAAAGAGCAAGCCCCATGGGCTGGAACACCTGTGAGAAGTGCTCCTCATAGCTTGCACAATTCAGCAGGATGTGCATTTTTTTATGTCCTGCAATCTGCAACTATATCCTTCTCTCCTCCCTGTCTATTTTTAATCACTTATAGCTAAGATGTATGGTAGAAAATAATTTGAGGGTTGCATTTCCTAACAACAGCTGAAAGAAGCATAAAATATTTGCAGATGAGTCTTTTTTTTTTTTTTAACCTGTGACTTAAGAGACAAAGAACTGTGCCCTTAGTGTCCTAAGCCAAGGCAAGATAAAGGCTTCTAGAAGCCCATGTCCCAAAACAATTGCCACGCCTTCCTGGAAAATACACTTGAATATGGAAACAACTGTAAACTAAAAGAAGAGATGTACAGAGAAAATTAAAGCTAAGCTTTGCTTCGAAAGTATGATTGTCTCTTGGCTAATTTGATATTGACTGTGCTTTTCCGGAGCTGTGTGCTGTAGGGGAACTTCTGGTTCTCTGGCCCTCCACCCTTTTCTTAAAACAATTGATCAGTAACAGAGAGCTGCCACCCTCAACAAGGAGCACCAAGCAAAGGCTTGCACATCGTGAAAACACCCCCTCACTGTGAGGAACAGAGCAGGAAGAGATTCATTTAAGTCTTGGCCCACTTTGGTGTGTATGAGGTATATGGTTCCTCAATAACCCCCAAAAGTCATGCTAGAAGCAATCAAACTCCCTTTCAATTAATTTTGTGAGTCGTGTCCCCGTACCCCAGTACATAGTAGTGATAAACAGATCAACCGACCGAAAACTTTAGAAATCACTTGGTTTTATGATACAATAACATGTGAGTTTATACATAGCACATCCTTCTAAAACAAGCCTCGGCTGACATTTTATATTTCTTTGCAGCCTCCCGTGCGGCAGTGCACCCAGTCTTGGGGGTGGGAACATACTTTGAAAACCGCTTTGGTCATGGAACAGAAAGCCAGCATCCAAACTTCAGCTGTGGCTTTGCAGCCTAGGACTTCCGTCCTGTGGCCCACGACTGGTAATGGGCAGCCTGCCTCAATGCATTACTGCAATTCTGGAAAGTCGTGCTATAGAGAAACAAAAGACACTGTTGGTTGGTGGATATCTCTCTCCAGTTTCTCTTTCCCTCATTGCCTTTCTGGGCACCATACATCCCTTCAGAGAGTTTCATGAATCCTACTTCACTTTCCCAACAGTCTCCACCAGGAAGCTGCCATGGTCACTGTACCTTAGATGGCTCCACTGCTTTATGATGGAGGAAGAAGGGTTCCTATGTTGGAATCCTTGACTTCTGACCTGCACTTAACTAGCACGTATTCTCTAAAGCTCACCTTTTTTAAAAATCATGGTGTGTGTGTGTGTGTGTGTGTGTGTGTACATGACACAGCATGTGTGGAGGTCAGAGGACAACTTGTGGGACTCAGTTCTCTCCTTTCATCATATGAGCCCTGGGTATTGAACTCAGGTCGCCAGGCTTCATGGTGAGTGCCCTTACCTGCTGAGACACCTCTCTGGCCTACTTTCTTCATCTTTAACATGAGTGAATAAAAATATCTTCCTTGTAGCAGTATCCCAAGGACCAAATCAAAGGAGAAAGTATTTTTTTGCAAATTGCAAAAGCATCACAAGAGTTTGTTACAATTCATTCTAACAAATACTTGGGAAATAAATGAGAGATGTATATCCACGTTTGACAATAAAGTCTAAAATGTACTAGAGATGAAAATATATGAGCCAGGTTCTGACAGAGCCGCTTATAGCTAGAAGAAAAGTAGTATGGAATATTTTCAACCAGCTATTAACTTACATTTGTTTATAAGCCCTGAAGAGGAGAGGCCACTCCCATGCTACCATTCCACAGACTGACTGAACTGAACTTCATGATTACAGAGAGTTGCAATGTTGCTGACAGAAAACCAAAATCATTTGGAGCTATCCATAGTCCCCTTGGACGTCATTAATCATCCACCTCTGTATCTGATCCCACATTCTCTTGACTTTTAAATCAAAGTCTTGAAATACATCACTGCATAGACTTGACCCACCTAGCTTCCATCCACACAGAAGCTCAGAACATCATGAGATTGCATCTAAAACCTATGGCAGAGATTTCCCTTACTTTGCTATAGTCTGGCTGCCTGATGCCCCTAATCAATGTGTTTGGTAAAGGCATTAACTTATGACTCTATTTTGTTCTGTGACAGTACCAGTTCAAGTACGAGCTTCCATGGTGGAAGATGTCATCCAGGAAAACCTGAACCCATGTTCCAGAGCAGTGGTCACCCAGAAAAAAAAAAGTTTTCTCTTATTCTCTTTGGAGCAAGAGATGTATTCCTGCAAATGCTACATCTTCCTTTTTCCTTTCAGTTTCCACAGTGTATGAGACATTAGTGAAATCTGTGTTTTAGAAGCTGTGTTCTTTTAAAGCCCTAACTTAGATTCAGCAAAAAAAGTATTTGTTAAAAATAATTTATTTTTTTATTTTTTAATTAATTTATTTTTTATTTAGTTACATTTGTTTATTGGGGAGCGGATGTGCATGTCATGACATGTGGAGATCAGAGAGCAACTTTGGGAACTGGTCTTCTCCTCCACCGTATGGGTTACAGGAACAGAACTCAGGTCTCAGGCTCAGCAGCCAGCACCTTTACCCACTGGGCCACAGAGGAGGCCCCACTTACATTAATTAAGGATCTCTGCCCATTCAAGATGGCTAATGATGAATTGTAACAAACATTTTTGTGGTTTTATTGACCAGGTAATTTGCAGTATCCTTTTCTCCATACATTTACTTAAAAATAAAAACACAGTTAGACCTTTAAGGTCAATGCGTTGGGTTTTATATGGAAGTTCCAACTTGAGTTGTACATTTACCTCTACAACAATCAATACAAAAATGTGGAGGTGTCTGGTTTAGGTGGAAATCTTAAAAGTTATTTCTGCCACGTCAGTTTGTTGAATTTGCATTATCTGTTAAATCTAATTCTAGTGTCGGCCTCTCTATTCAGAAGGTGAAGAAAGGAAAAAAAATTTAAACCTCAAGCTTTCTTCCTGAGCCAAGTTGTTCTCTTTCTCTCCCTGTCTTGGGGTTGTTTTTTATGTGAATCATTAGTATTCTTTGAAAAAGAATTGTCCTATTGGCCTATCATTATATTTTAACTGGAGATTGAGTTTCTTTTCATTTTTTATTCGATGCTCTTAGCAGAGAAAGGCCACATAAATCCCTTACTCACTATCCC